GAGATAGGGCCGCGCGCGGCTTATCAGAGCCGCCGGCCAGCGGGACTTATTTGGCGCGAGCGCCGGCCGAAGCGCTTTAAGAGCCCGCGCGCCCCCTGGCGCCGCGCGGCGCAAAGGCGGGACGTGATCATTAATACCAAGACGCATTGCCTAAAATCCTCCCCTGGAGTCTGAAGGTCGGGAACAGCATTGCCTCCTTGGGCAGAAGTGGATACGGGGACGCAGAGCGGAAAGGTGATTTGCCCCGCTTCCTGCAAAGGAGTAAACACGGGCCGGGGCGCGGACCCTCGAGCTGGCGGGGGCGCAAAGGTTTCCCAACCTGTGCGGGCGTCACAGCACTGAGGTCTCTCTGGATCCGAGCTCCGGAGCGGTGTTAGCAGGTCCACCTTTCCTTCCATCTCTCCATCCGTCCACATGCGGTTGAGGAGCGCCTGGATGTGCCCGGCCCTGCGCTGAGATGCACGGGTTAGACGCGGGCGCTGCCTCGAGTCACCCTAGACTAGGCATAACTGGCGGCAGGTGTGGTGTGATGGATGTAAGGTGCACACAGGGACGCATTTAGCTGCCACGCTGCCCCAAGTTCCCCCGCGCACTTGGTTCTTGGCATGTAGTAGGTGTTTGTCATAATCTTGAAGTCTAAGATAAACTCATTATCACTGATCCATCCCAACCCCCTTCTGTTTTGGCTATTTCGGTGAGCAGCGCCTCCGTTCATCTATGCCAGGAACATGGAGTCATCCTTGCCTCTCCTTCCTCCTGCCCCCCCCCACCCGCCCAGCCAACCTGCATTGATCCCCTGTTCTGCCTTTCTGACCTCACCTTGCCTCAGGTCTGCCCTCCCTCTCACACCCACCGCTGTGGTTCAACCCTCATCCTCTCTGGACCCAGTGGCAGCCTTCTCACTGAGCTGCCATCCCCTCCGGTTCATTGTCTACACTGTGCGAGAGCACCTTTTCTAAAATGCGAATCAGACTGATCACCCTAATGCCTCAAAGTCTTCCATAGCTCCCTGTTGTTGTTAGCTGCTGTCAGTCGGCTCTGACTCATGGCAAACCTATGTGCAACAGAAGGAAACGTCCAATTGTGTGCTGTCTTCACCATTGTTGCAGTCCTTGTGTGTTTTGAGTGCTTTCCAACCTTGGAGGTCATCTTTCAGCACTTTATTGGACAATATTCTGTTATGATCCATAGGGTTTTTATTGGCTAATTTTTGGAAGTAGATGGCCAGGCCTGTCTTCCTAGTCTGTCTTAGTCTGCAAGTTCTGCTGAAACCTGCCTATCGTGGGTGACCGGCTGGTATTTGAAATATGATGCTTCCAGCATCATAACAACATGCAAGCCACCACAGTATGACACACTGACAGACGGTAGTGGTCATAGCTTCCTACTGCTCTCAGAAATAATGTACAAACACCTCTGTCTGGCACACAGAACAAGGAAATAATAGATTTACTCCTGACCTTTTATCATGAGCAACAGGAGCCAGAAGATGGTGGAGTAGCATATTCAATGTCCCAAGGGAAAATAACCCCCATCCTAGAATTATATACCTGGTGAAAATATCTTTCCAGAAGTATGTACCAGTGAAAATATCTTTCCAGAACAGAGATGAAATAACGACATTTACAAACACAAAAATTAAGACCCTCCTTAAAGGAAATTCCAAAGGCGGAACTTCAGGCAGGAAGAAGATGATGGCAGAGGTCTGATGCAATAGGGAATAAAGAACAATGAAGAACATTGACAATGTAAAACAATGGTAACAATGTCTCCAGCATAAAAATAGAATTAAAATATACAACAACAATGCCTTACTACTTGGGTGAGTGTGTTAAAGTGCCCTAAGATCCTTGTATTATTCAGGCAAGAAGGTGAATCTTCCTCAAATACTCTTAGACTTTAATAAGTTAAGAATGCAAGTTGTCCTTACTAGAGTAACCACTAAAAGAATGTAAATGTAGTGTATAGTATTTATCCAAATTAATACAGTGGGGAATAGAATGAGAAAACCAACCCACTCAATTCTAAAGCAGGCGAGAATGGAGAGAAAAATAAATAAAAGACAGGTGGAACAAATAGATGATAGATATAAATTCAAATGTTCTATAATTCAATGACCACCACTGGTCTGTCAGTTTGTCCTACTGTGGTTTCTCATATGTTGCTGTGATGCTGAAAGCTATGCCACTGGTATTTCAAATACCAGCAGGGTCACCCATGGTGGTCAGGTTTCAGCAGCGCTTCCAAACTAAGACAGACTGGGAAGAAGGACTTGGCGGTCTACTTCTGAAAAAATTGGCTAGTGAGAACCTTATGAATAGCAGCGAAGCATTGTCTGATATGGTGCTAGAAGATGAGCCCCTCAGGCTGGAAGGCATTTAAAAGATGACTGGGGAAGAGCTGCCTACGCAAAGTAGACTTAACCTTAACGATGTGGATGGAGTAAAGGTTTCAGGACCTTCATTTGCTTATGTGGCATAACTCAAAATGGGAAGAAACAGCTGCAAACATCCATTAATAATCGGAATGTGGACTGTACAAAGTATGAATTAAGGACAATTGGAAGTTGTCAAAAATGAAATGGAACACTTGAAGATCTATATCCTAATCATTAGTGAGCTGAAATGGACTGGTATTGGCCATTTTAAATCACACAAATCATATGGTCTACTATGCTGGGAATGACAAATTGAACAGGAATGGTGTCACCTTCATCATCAAAAAGAACATTTCAAGATCTATCCTGAAGTACAACACTGTCAGTGATAGGATAATATCCATACATCTACAAGGAAGACCAATTAATACGGTGTCTTAGTCATTTAGTGCTGCTATAACAGACATACCACAAGTGGATAGCTTCAATGAAAAGAAATTTATTCTCTCACAGTCTAGTAGGTTACAAGTCCAAATTCAGGGTGTCGGTTCCAGGGAAGATTTTCCCTGTTGGCTCTGGTGGAAGGTCCGTGTCATCTATCTTCCCTTGGTCTGGGAGCTTCTCTGCACAGGAACCTCAAGTCCAAAGGACGCGCTCTGCTCCTGGCACTGCTTTCTTGGTGATATGAGGCTCCCATGTGTCTCTATTCGCTTCTCTCTTTATATCTCAAAAGAGATTGGCTTAAGACACTATCTAATCTTGTAGACCTCATCAGTGTAACTGTCACTAATCCATCTTATTACATCATAGTGATAGAGTTTACAACACATAAGGAAATCACATCAGATTACAAAATGGTAAACAATCATACAATACTGGGAATCATGACCCAGCCAAGTTGACAGATATTTTGGGGGGACACAATTCAATCCATGACATACGGCTATTATTCAAATTTATGCACCAATCGCTAATGCCAAAGATGAAGAAATTGAATATTTTTACCAACTTCTGCAGTCTGAAATTGATCAAACATGTAATCAAGATGCATTGATAGTTACTGGTGATTGGAATGTGAAAGATGGAAACAAAGAAGAGGGACCAGTAGTTGGAAAATATGGCCTTGATGATAAAAATGATGTGGGAGAACACATGACAAAGTTTTGCAAGACCAATGACTTCTTCACTGCAAATAGATTTTTTCAACAACATAAATGGTGACTATACACATGGACCTCATGGGATGGAATACACAAGAATCAAATTGACTACATCAGTGGAAAGAGACGATGAATAAGTTCAGTATCATCACTCAGAACAAGATCAGGGACCGACTGCAGAACAGACCACCAATTGCTCATATGCAAGTTCAAGGTGAAGCTGAAGCAAATTAAAACAAGTCCATGAGAGCCAAAGTACAACCTGGAGTATATCCCACCTGAATTTAGATATAATCTCAAGAACAGATTTGATACATTGAACGCTAATGACTGAAGACCAGACAAGTTGTGAGATGACATCAAGGACAAGAGGTCATGAAAAAGACAAGAAAGAAAATACCAAAATGGATGTCAGAAGAGACTCTGAAACTTGCTTTTGAACATTGAGTAGCTAAAGCGAATGGAAGAAATGAGGAAGTAAAAGAGCTGAACAGAAGATTTCAAAGGATGACTTTAGAAGACAAAGTACAGTATTATAATGACATGTGCAAAATCCTGGAGTTAGGAAACCAAAAGGGAAGCACACACTTGGCATTTCTCAAGCTGAAAGAACTGAAGAAAAATTCAAGCCTCAAATTGCAATATTGAAGAATTCTATGGGCAAAATATTGAACAATGCAGGAAGCATCAAAAAGAGGATGGAAGGAATATATAGAGCCACTGTACCAAAAAGAATTGGTCAGCGTTCAATTATTCCAGGAGGTAGTATATGATCAAGAGCCATGGCACGGGAGGAAGAAGTCCAAGCTGCACTGAAGTCATTGGAAAAAAACAAGGCTCCAGGAATTAACGGAATACCAATTGAGATATTTCAACAAACAGATGCAATGCTGAAAGCGTTCATTTGTCTATGCCGAGAAATTTGGAAGACAGCTATCTGGCCAACTGACTGGAAGAGATCCATATAGCTGCCCATGCCAAAGAAAGGTGATCCAACAGAATGTCGAAATTATTGAAGAATATATTAATATCACATGCAAGTAAAATTTTGCTGAAGTTAATTCAAAAATGGTTGCAGTAGTACATCAACAGGAAACTGCCAGAAATTCAAGCCAGATTCAAAAGAGGA